GGACCTGACTGCTCCCTAAAGCCAGCACATAAGGGACCTGCCTCAAGGAAGGCCCTTTCTCAGATCTCTGAAAGCCCCCCGGAGTCCCTGGTGCTGGACGCAGGGCGCTAACAGGAGTCAGAGGTCTCCACCTACCGCCGGACTCCAGAGCAAAGTCCACCATGCCGGTCTTGTCCTGGGAATAGAGCTTCAATGCATTGTTCACAATGACGTGCGCTTGCTGCACAGGTCCACGGGAGGGATGCCAGGCCGCAGAGGGGAGAGATGAGACCCAGTGTTAGTAACAGCAACAAAGGAGCACATTTTCAGCTACCTGAGGTTGGGGACAACAGGCACAGGGGACATTGCAGCAGTTCCAAACTGCAGTCCCACACCCGGGCAGGGCTGTCGGGTATGGATGGGGGACCAGGGCCTTTTCATCGGGTTCAGCGGCCTCAGCACTCTGAGCCAGAAAACCCTCTGGTGTCACAAAGTGAGGGCAGAGCAAGGATCCGAATGGGGACAGTATTACTGAGAGTTCGGAAGGTATGCGGCCACCAAGTAAGCGGATCTTTGGAACAAAAAGGCAAGTCGACTACAAGGGACTCCCAAGAAGTAGCCAAACCTCGCAGAGCGGTGGCCCTTCTACACGGTGTGCCCTGCTGAGCGCGGTGACGTCACAGCCACACGTGAAAGCATCCTTAGAGCAAGACACAGGCATCGGTGTCCCCGCCCCGTGGACCTCACACATCTGTCTACATACCGCTTCTGTTATTCCAGAAACCCCGGCGTCGTTCACAGCAGACATGATCGTTTCAGACGTGGGGATCTGCTTTGTCACGGAAACACGGTGGGTCACCTCCTTCAGTATCCGCAGCTCCAAGTCTCGTAACAACACCTGTAAGTCGTCCTTGCCGACAAACTGCGAAGACAGCTTCTGGAGCAGCCCTTCCAGCACGCCGGCCCACTGCCCGTCCGACACCAGGAGCCCGAGCGTCTCCCTGACCCGGGCGTCCACCTAGAGACAGCACAGGGAACAGACCATGAGTCACTCCGACAACCCACTCCCGCCACCTTCGACGCCTCGCAAGTGTCACACAGCTTCTCGGGATCCCTAATGTACATGCGACACAATCTTTCCCGTCCTATTAATCTGCCAAAAACGCTGGAACAGACTCGAAAGAGCAGGAAGGGAAAAGAGCATGGCGTGAACGCAATGTGGGCCCGAGAATGAGGAAGGAGACGCTCCGTCCACCGTGTCCCCTGCACGTGCCCCTCGGCACGCATTCCGCACCTGGCCCACGGGCGGGGAGCAGAGATGAAGGTGCGCCGCCCACCAGCCACAGAACGACGCCCAGTGTGATCGTGAGTGTGCCAGAACTGTCCCCGCACACTAGCTCCACACACGGGTATGAGAGAACGCGCTCGGGGAGCAGCACGGTGGCCTGTGCATATCAGCCGTGACACCCCACGTGGATGCACTGCTCCTTGGCGGCCGCTCCCGCCCCGCCCCACCCCACCGGCTGCACAACACCCCACGCCCGCGTGTCCATCTGCCCCGCTGTGTTCATTTGTCAGAGGGGTCCCAAGAGGGTGGCTGCAAGTTTCAAAGGGTGTGTGCCTCTGTGGCTCATGTCCTCAGACTTCTGCCCCGTCGGCACTGGACGCTCCTGTCGCCACTCCTGCCGATCTGAGCGCTGCTGCCAGCTGCAAACACAGGCAGTGAGGCAGCGGTCCCGGCCCACGCGCTCGCCCGCGCTGCACTGTCCTCCCGGCCACTCGGGAGCCCGCGCCTGCACGACATTTCGCGCGTGCAGCAGGTCCCGCCTGAGGCCTGCCGGACGTTCGCCGCTGTCTCCGTTTTCCCGCAGCTGAAACGCCTGCACTTCCTCTTCTGAAGCCGTGTGGCTCTGACACGAGGCAAAGCTCGCCGAGTGCAGTGTGAGTCTACTTCAGTGAACAAACACAACGCACACACACGCCACCCCCACATCAACGCTAGTGCGTGGCTGCACGCGCATCGGCAGCATGGAGGGCGCGCACGCGAGGATTAGCGCGCTATGCGCCTGGATGCGGGAAATTCGAGGAGCGCTGAATTTTTAATCATTTCAGTGTTATTTTAAATTTTTAAAATCTTCAAACGTAGTTAACTGAAGGTTTTTAAAAGAAATAGAAATTAACTTAATGAACGTAAGACATCAACGCCAGTGCTCTCTTCGCTCTGAAAAAACAAATGGAGGAACTGAGCGAACGTACCTTTTCGTGGATGGCATCCCCCTGCTCGCAGCTGGGGGTCACATGCTGCCCCTGCGACAGCTCTGATTTCAGGAGACTCAGCTCCAGCTGCAGCTGCTTCACCACCGACAGGAGGCGCTGCTCTTCCTCGAGCCCGCTGGGAAGGGAAAGGCCGGTCAGCACAGGCGCGCGCATGCAGGAGCTGAGCCAGCGGGCCCCCGAGGTGTCTGCGCCGTGAGTCTGTCGCCCCGACCACACTGGCGTGCACGCGCAGCGCGAGCTCCCAGCCGAATTCTCGGAGTTCCCCGCATGAACTCACGCCTGCCCAACCTACACTCGCTGGTGGGGAAAGCCCCCCCAGGCGGTTCACCACGTAGGGACTGCCTCCTGAGAACTACGAAACAGACTCAGAGATGAGACGGTACTTATCAGTGACCACTACAAAGCTCACCGTGAACGCTTCCCGCTAATGGAAGGCACGACTGATCTAAAACCACGTGGCTCCGGGTCAGCTTCAATAATCCTGGTTTTCTGTGACAGCTGTACGACGGGAAACGTCGCCACAGCGCCCTAGTTCACGGGTGGATAAGCTGCTACAACACCAACGACCCCTGAGCCAGAAAAGCGCCCTGCGGGTGAACGCCTCAGGGTCTGCGGGATGATCAGCACGGCGAGCACATCCCCGTGAGACGTGTGCAAGTGCGAGATGCTCGTGCCCGTCCTCGCAGAGGGCACGCGACCAAGCACACGGGAGCCGGAAACAGGACGTGCGTGGGGCGCACTCAGGGGTGACTGAGCGAGGCAAGGCGAAGGTGTCCTGTGCTCACAGGCGGGGCCCGTGGGGCATGACCAGGCGGGCACAGACAGGCCGCCTTCCGAGTGTCGGGAGGGAGGGGTGGTCTCAGCGGCAGAGGACGCAGGAAGGGACAGGGTGAGGAGCCGCACCCCATCCCCAGTGTGACAGCTTCGCAGAGGCCCAGCGAGGAGGGGTCATGCCCACCAGATAAGGCGGGGCTTCTCTGTGCCCTAAGGGGGCCCTCCGAACACTCCCAGTCAACGCAAGGGCGCCACTGCCCCTGGGGTTCTGCGTGGAGGGAAGTGGACGCAATAAGCCCCCGAGGGCCCTGGTGTCCTCAGGTGGCTCTGAAGGGTCTCTCAGAAAGACACAGAGCTGAGAGCGCCCCGCAGAGCCCGTTGCCCCAGAGATGGGGGCTCCACAGCCAACAGACAAAGGGGAGCTTGCTTGGATTCTCCTACCTCATTGTCCTTTGCTTGGTCTGTTCTAGCTCCTTCTGGATGACCTAGAAAGTACGAGGAACAACCTGTTTACACAAAGGCACACAATTGATTAACTACATGTATATATATATATACGCAGCTACACGTCGTCTGGGCCACCTGCCCGTGGCTGACAAGCGGTAGATATTTATTGTTCAAAGTAAACGTTTCAAAGGCGTACGACACGTGCTGAGAAAGGTACGCGAACTGCACAGGAACAGCTGGATGGACTTGCAAAATAAGCAGCTCCCGAACCAGGACCCAGGCCAAAGGAACCGCAGCACCACCTCTGGGCAGTGTCGTTTCAATGGCAAAGGACAGGAAAAGGAAACGGCCAGTGCACGCATGAAGAACTGGCTGACTCACTTGCTCTGCACCAGGCTGAACAGCCACACCTGCTCAAGCTGCGTGTGGGCGGAGGCCACCCTTCCTCTCGCTGCCAGCGGATGGGCAAGACCAAGGCCACGATACCAGCTCCTGGCGAGAGGCTCGCTTCCTGCTCAGCCTCCCCGCACCCCGCCCCAGCCCAGGGGACGTCTCATCAGCCAACAAACTGCCCTCGCCTGATTCTGACACTGTCAGTAACACAGCCCCCATCTCGAGGTCCCCAAAGGGTGGGGCCGTGTCTGACGCCGAGGCCAGCCGACAGAGGCCCCATCCAATGTGCCTGCTCTGGGGGCGTACCCCGTGGTCCCACGGCTTAGAGCAAAACAGGCCCCCTGACCACCCCCCCACCCCACCCCGTGCCTCTACCAACACCTGAGAATGACAGACTTTCCCATCAGAAACGTAACTTCCTGTCACAAGATGCAGGTCCTTTTCCCTCTAGAGACAGCATGGTGGAGGCTGTGTGATGGCCACGAGAGCCGGCCACTGCTTTTGCAGCCTGGGCTCAGACCTCCCCCCCAAAAAAACACACCTTGGAACCAGTGCATGGGACGTAGCTATGAAACGCCAGAGCAATCAGAGGGGGACCACGAGGGGGAAAAGGGAACAGTCCCAAGTCTTGTTTTCCAGTTTTGAGGACAGCAGCAAACATCCTGAACAAGCTGAAAACTTCAGCCGCAGTGGGGATTTTCTCATCGCTTTGTCGGGGCTGCAGGGAAAGGTCAGGGCAGAATACCTCAGACTTTTCTGTCAGTTTTCCGAGAACATCTTCCAGGTTTGCGATGCGTGCGCCATGGTCTTGGTGGGCGGTCACGTGGTCAGCCTTGAAAAGGAAGCGGAGAGGCTGAATGGCGGAGAAAGTTAAGCAACGAATGAAAACCCGGCAAGTGAGGCCGAGCAACTTCTGCGCAGAGTCCCCCGGACTGGGGACTGTCTGGTGACAATCGGGCAGAGCGTCCCGGAAGGAATCGTCTGCTAAGTGTCCTCATCTTCCTCTCTATCTTCAGAGATCTGAAACCCGTGCTGAAACGCACAAAGAGCTTCTCCAGCTCGTGAGAACGTCAGTGAAGCCCTGCGGTATCGGCACGCACCATGTAGAAAACAAATTTGTTACTACTCATTCAGTGAATGTCATCAGGCACCCACTGCACTTAAGCGATTTAAAATAAAAGAATCACGGACACACCGTACATACGTTCTCTCAATTGTCTCATAGTCACAGGAGACACACGACACACAGACGCTCACTAGGAATGAACCTATCCGAACCCTGCCCCGGACCAGAGGACACCCTGCAGACACACGGGCCCAGGGGACTAATTATTCAGCAACTGAGTAGGCACGTCACCATTCTGGCTGGTGAGAAAAGGGATCGACAAAAACATCACGTGAGGGAAATACGAAGTTTTTCGACACAAAGTAAGTGTTGAAAAACAGTTTGTCCAACACATCCCCGCCACGTGCTTCGTGATGCCTGCACGGAACAGCTGCGTGAGGCCAGGCCCGCTCGCTGGAGAGGGGAGAGGGGTCAGAGGGCGACAGCACAAGGCACGGCAGCAGCAGTGAAGGCACCGCACACACCGAGTGACCGAAGTCCAGGTCACGAGACAGAAAACAGAGCAATAAATGCCCTCATCATGGGGACGTTCACTTACTAACTGATACCCCATCTCGTTCCAAAGTGATCCATAAAAATTCACAGAAAAATAAGATTAAAAATAAGATAAACCAGAGCACAGGGGTGACGTCAGCTGGGAGGACGAACGCAGCCCCTATGCGGGGCGGAGAGCGTCCTGGCTTTAGCCAAGACTCCTGCTGCCTGGCTGCAGAGTCCAGCAGGAGCCGGGCCACGATGGCCAGGCCGCCATCCGAGCTGTCCCACACAGCAGCCACGGCACACTTGAAATGTGTCCAGAGCAACCGAAGCTAAATGTTAGTTTTAATTAAAATTTACACAGTCACGTGCGACTAGTGACGTACTCTGTCGGAAAATGTGGATATCTCAGAAAAATATACGGCCACAGGTGAGGGGAAGGACAACAGTTCCAGGATCAGGGGATGTGCGTACTTAACACTAGAGTGTGGCTGCTTCAGAAACAAGCTGGGGGTCCACAGCCACGCCACCCTGAACGCGCCCGATCCCATCTGATGTCAGAGCCTAAGCCGGGTCGGGCCTGGTTAGTACTTGGATGGGAGACCACCTGGGAAGACCAGGTGCTGCAGGTGTTACAATAAAAAGGAGAGAAAAGAAGAAAGCCGGCTCTCCGCTCTGCCTGAGGCCGGCCGCCAGAAAGACGCCTGTGTACAGGGGCGCTCTGGGAGGCGGCAGGGGAGGAGGGGGACCCTGTGCTCTGGGAGGCGGCGGGGGAGGAGGGGGACCCTGTACTAGGCTCACGTAATTCAGAATCTGAATTAAAGTGAGATCAGGCCGCGCGCACGCAATTCAGCGCACAGAACACTAGACACGCTGATTCTTGTTTTTCTGAACTGCCACTTGTTTTCCTTAAAAGAGAACGGAAACGTCGCTGCCGTTTTCAGGGCCTCCCCGTCCACAGCGTGGGGTGCGTGACCTTGGCCGCCTCAGCTAGGAAACGCTCCCTGGACGCAGTGCTTCCGGTGTGCGTCTCCGCTCGCCCGGCAAGCGTCCTGCGCACAGGGACGGTGCTCGCTGATCCGCCACCCGCTTTGGATTTTTGCAGCAGCATCTGCCTCTGCGACAGGCTAGCGTCGGCCCTCCCCACCGCCCTGCCACACCTGCACAGACAGCACGGTCCATGCGGGTCCTTCCAGGCCCCTTCCATCCGCACGGCCATCGTGACTGTGCTGACCGATCGTACGGGCATCATCCCAGTTTCCTGGCTGAGCAACGGCTGAGGCATCCGTGCAGGATGCCAAGTGTCCTCTGAGTGGGCGCAGTGAGGGAGCAAGCACCCCTGCCCCCCGCCGCGTGCCGTCAGCACCTGACAAGGGGAGCAGCGAGAGACCTGCCTTGGGCCAAACCAGGATCGAGAAAAGACTTGTTTGTTCTTCAAACGCGTTTCAGCCCCTCCGGGCGGGAGACCACCATGCACTGAACGGGCCTCGCCCAGCAGTGGCAGCTGCAGGCACCGTGGCGGGGCGGTGGGGGGAAGCAGAGTGGTGGGCCCCACACAGGGTGCACAGACAGCTGGGGAGTGAGCCCAGGCCGTGCGACGTGTAGCCCTGGGGCAGCCCGGCTGCCGGGGACTGCTTCCAGCGGACCGGCCCGCAGGAGCTCAGCGGGCCCAGGCCGTGCATGGGCCACAGCGAGCAGACGTGGGCACTGGGACGTGAGGGGACCAGGTCCCACTGCCGCCGTGGCCTGTGGCTGAGGAGCGGGCTGTGCTGGGACAGGAGACAGACACCAGGAGAAGCACAGCGCTGGGAAAAGGGGTAACGCGTGTTTTAAAGGCCAATCCAAAAGATCTAAATGAAGTCATTTTGGAAAATGAAAATAAACGTCAGTTTGGGGCAAAGCAGGCTGACGAGTCTCTTCTTGAGACTTCCAGACACACCAGACCTTCATGCACAAGCTCCTGTCCCACATGGGACACCTTGCGACACCTTGGATCGCAGGTTTGAAATGTCACACTGCCGGTGACAGAACTCGCAAACCAAATCACTGCTGACAGGGCCCATAAAATTTCCCCCAAATGTGTTCGATCCATCTCAAACGGAAGCGCAGCCCAGGTCGGCCGCAGGCCGGGAGACGGCCCCACTCCGCCACCCCCTGCTACGCGCCGCCTCACTGGTGGGCGTCTCCCACGGCCTGTGATGGCCAGTCCCCTCAGTGGGCACCACTTCTCACTGCAGAGCCTCCTAGTCTGCGCCCCCCGAAAGCAAACAGCCCCCCGAGGGCTTGTCGGCATTACCTTGGGGCCCAAGAGTCCGTCGGCACTCATCTCCTTCAAACGCTGGCTCACCACGTGGCTCACCAAGGACGACACCCCCTCCCTGCCGCCGTCCATCTGGTCCACGCGCATCTGCAGCTTCTGAAGCGAGGCTGTCAAGTCTCTGAGCCGCTCATCGTGGCTCTGGCACTGTCCAGACAAAGACGTCATCCACCTTTCCACTTCACCCATCCGACGCCAGCCAACGGTCCCATCACCAGCCTGAAACAGGAAGGAGACATTCAAACTGTGACACAAACGAGAAGTTAAACCCGGGGCCAAATAACCTGAGGGGCAGGTTAAGTCCCAACCACCAGACAGAACGCAACGGCACAACGTCCACTGGGACACGAACGCTAAAGGAAGACAGGAAGCGCGCGCCGTCCCCCCCTTACGTGGCAGACCACGGGCACTCCATGTCCTTCTCTACACTTTCTGCACTTTCAAAAGTAACAAATACTACTATTTTTAAACCAAAATGAACTGAATAATGATTACGTGCGTTACCGGAACAATCTGAGAGCATTTAAAAAGCTTATTGGACGTTCGAGAATGTTTTTGAAACAGGGTGCCCAGCTGTGCAGCCTGCTCGCAGGCGGCAAGAGCAGTCGCCGTGAGGAGCCATGCCACGGCCGGCGCGAGGGCGTGCCGGTACCTCGAGGGGTGGGCTCGGGCGGGGACCGTCAGGCGAGAAGGTGCTCCCGGGGCCGTCCGCCCTCTGCGCTCTGTACACGTGTGTCCAGTTCACCGCGGGCAGGAACGACAGGGGACCGCCCTGGCCCCAGAGTGAAAGGCCTGCACCTGGAGGAGACACGGAGGTGCGACTGAGTCTGCGTGCACGCTCACCGCCCTCCCAAAGACCGCCCCCGCGCTCGGTTCTGCCACCCGCCCCCGCGCTCGCATGCGTTCACCACCCAAGGCAACTAAGTCGAACTGGACTCACCCAGTAAAAGCAGCAGTGGAATGAGCAAGATTAAAAGCTTGCAAATATTTCGAAGGCACCTATGAAGAAAAAGGAAAATGTTTAACTTGGAAGAAGCACAAGGCAGGGGTCCCCATTCCATTCTGTCTCTCTAGGTGAGCTCGTACGGAACAGCCCCGTTTTAAAGGGGAGGTCCACAGCATGAGAGCTGCAG